TTTCCCAAACCAGCTGGGGGAGGGGCCGCTAGAATCTGCTTTCTAGAGGGACCCCAATTTGGAGGTTTCCTCCAAAATTTGCCCTAAACCAGGACAGTATGTTATCATAGACATGTTACTACCATCACTGATTGGCCCAGCCTTGGCCAGCAGCCCATCTGTCTTGGAGCCAACTGGCATCGGCTCTGTTAGACATGGGAGAAGCTTCTAGCAGCTTCTCGCAGAAGTCACCCCTGTAGCCTGCTGATGCCTATTGATTTTTGCCTTTTTTCTTTTATATCTTCTCAGTATTATTTACACATACATTTGAAGCTCTGTAGCTTATTTGTACCATTCCATGGACTCCCCCCCCCCTTGGTCAACCCCCAAGCCCTCAGCCCTGGAAACATCAGTAACTACTTACCATTAGTTAGCCCTCCCAAAGGGAAAAACAGTCTCCCCCATGGACTTGGTGTCGCAACTTCCTCTGGTTTCTCCTTTCCCTGTCACTGGCTTGGCATCCCTGGTGGCCACCACCCTTCCCCTGGAGGCCACACCCCTCTGTCCACCCCTTAGCTCCGCCCCCCCGCCCCTTCCCCTTTATAAGCTGTCTGCTCCACGTGGTTCATCCTCTTTCCTCGGGTTTGTCCTTCAGCTATGGTGTTACTCTGCTGGAATAAAACCTTGCAAAAGAGCCTTTCTTGCCTCTATCGCTGAGCCAGCTGCAGTGAGTATTGAGTGGAGGTTTGACTGCGTTGCCTGAATGTTAACTCAGCTTGCTTTTTGACAGGAGAGGCTTGCTGGGGACAAGGGATAAGCAGCAGCACCTACCACTTTAACACCCACGTTTTTAATTGGCGCTCAACTGGGCCCTGACCTTGAGGCTTTATCTAGCCTTTTGAAAGCGTCTCCATTGGATCTCCTCTGGATTCTAAGTCGCAGTCACTGTTCCAATTCCCTGAGAGAAAAAACCCCAATTTTCTAGGGTATTTCTCTGGGGGCGGCTGACAACCCTCGAGGCTTCGAGGACCAGCCAATTCAGCCAGACCTCCTCTGAGATTTTTTTTCTGGCACACTGAGGTGGTGAGTATAGCCTGGTGACTATCACCTTTTTATATTTTTTTTCTTCCTATTATCTCTTAGGAGGGAAAGGGCTCAATGGGTTCCATGTTATCCACTGAGCAGAAAGTTATTGTTTCCCAATTTCTAATGTCCTTCTCAAATATAATGTTAAGTTCTCTAAGGGTGATCTGAGGGTTCTTTTTCTCTGGGTTTTCAAGTTCTTTCCAGGTGCTACAGCTGAGTTGTCAGAAACCCAGGACATCCCTCTGGATGCCCTGGATGGCTCAAAATCTTGGCAGGGGCTCGGAGACCCTGGCAGGAAGCCAAAGACACCTGGGAATTTGATCTCAACCCATGAAGCAAATTACCAACTCTATATGAAGCATTGCAAGTCACAAAAGTTTAGATAACATAACAGTAGTTGTCACAGGGTGAAAGGTGGAATTTTGAAGAATTTTACTATGGGGGTCTAGGGGGACAAAATGGAGGGATCTGGGCGTTGTCCTGTTCTTCTCCCTTCTTCTTCCTAGCCTCCATCTTCTTGGTGATGGTGGCATTTTGGGATTGGTTTAGAATAGAAAGTCACTGTCTAACATAGGTGATAGGTATTGGAAAATAACTGTAAATATTGAATATGTAGTTTGTAGTATAAAAGACAACACCAGCCCCGTGGGCGGGAAGTGTGCCTCAGACTGACCTGCAGAACAGACCTTGGCAGGCCAGACAGAAAATGTTTTAGATAAGAAATAATAAACAACCTTGAGAACGACAGCCGAAGACTTCTGATTTCTTCTCGGACAGCTGGGTTGGGGAAAAGAGACTTTTTAACACTCCTCAGGATCATCTCTATCAGAGGGAACCCTGAGACTGAGTCTGTCTTGTCTGTTGAGTTTTGGGATTATGTAGGGAAAACAGTGTATCATCTCCAGACTGAAGGTGATTTTCGGGTTGGGAAGTTCTATCCTCTGTTTCACTCTATTTATAAGGTGATTCAAGCTTTGGGAGAGGGTTCTAAAGATTCTAAAAGCTCTGTATCCCTGCCTTTGTCTCCCAACTCCCCTGACCCTGCTCCCCCGTCCCCTCAGGATAAATCTGGAGATGGAAACTGCCTAAAACAGGCACAGGATCGCTACCTGCCTCCTGCCTCCTCCAGTCCCCTTCCATCCCCTTTCCTGACTAGTACTGGCTATGCTAGTCTGGGTTCTTTCCAAACCCTCTATCCTAAAACCCTCTACCCTCATTTGACCTTGACTGCTATGGAACAAGATGGCGCTGGCCACGTGGCCATGGAAACTTGCATTTTAAAATCTCCTGCCTCAGGCACTCATGACAGTGACGGTGTCTGGGATCGTCCTCCTCCCTTCCCTTCCCCCACTCCACCTGAGAGCCCCGTTCCCGCAGCGGGTACTGCCCCCACGCTGGGCATTCCCTCCAGTGCAGGTGCCACCCCATTGCCACCCCCACGCCGAGTTCCCCCATCCC